GACCCCACCGAACCGCCTCTACGTTCCCGCCTCCTGCCGGCAAGAGGCGCTCACGTGGGGGCATTGTTCACGGCTCGCGGGACATCAAGGGCAAGCCCGTACCCTCCAGTTCCTCCGTCGGGCTCTCTGGTGGCCGTCCATGAGGAGGGACGTCCGCGAGTTCACAGCTGCATGTGATGTGTGTGCTCGATCCAAGTCCTCCAACCGACCCGGCGCTGGAGAGTTGCAGCCTCTCCCTGTGCCCAAGCGGCCGTGGTCACACATCGGGCTGGACTTTGTCACGGGACTGCCGGCGGTCGACCACCTGGACACTATAATGACTATCACGGACCGTTTCTCCAAGGCCGTGCACTTAGTGGCCCTGGCCGGCCTCCCCACGGCCAAGAGGACGGCCGAACTGCTCCTGGAACAGGTGGTGCGGCTCCATGGTTTCCCTCAGGACGTGGTTTCCGACCGAGGACCCCAGTTCGTCTCACGCTTCTGGAAAGCGTTCTGTCGCCTGGTCGGTGCTTCCACCAGTCTGTCCTCTGGATACCATCCGCAGACGAACGGTCAAACAGAGAGAGCTAACCAGCAGCTTGGACGCTACCTGCGCTGCTTCGCTTCGTCCCAGCCGACCACCTGGCCCCGCTTTCTCCTGTGGGCGGAGCTGTCACACAACCTCCAGACCTCCTCAGCCACGAGTCTGTCTCCCTTCGAGACCTGTTACGGTTATCAGCCACCTCTGTTTGATCATCAGGTGCCCGAGGTGGAGGTCCCTGCTGCCCAGACGCTGGTCCGCCGCTGTCGGCTCGCCTGGATCCGGGCCCGTGCGGCCATCACCCGGGCCAACACGGAGTATGCCCGTCAGCATCGCCGCCGCCACCGGCCTGGCCCCGTCTTCCGGTCTGGCGACCAGGTGTGGCTCTCCTCCGCTAACCTGAGGATGCCGGCTGGCTCCCGGAAGCTCACTCCTCGCTTCCTGGGTCCGTTCCCCGTCCTTAAGGTCATCAATCCTGTCACCTGCCGTCTGCGCCTCCCGGCTACTCTCCGGATCCACCCGGTCTTTCACGTCTCCCAGCTTAAGCCGGTGATCTCCTCTCCTCTCCACCCTCCACCGGTCCGGGTGCCTCCGCCCCGCGGTGTTGAGGCGGATCGCACCTACACGGTCCGCAGGATTCTGGACGCTCGCCGCCGGGGACGAGGTTGGCGGTACCTCGTGGATTGGGAGGGGTACGGGCCTGAGGAACGCTCTTGGGAGCCCACGAGCTCGTTTGTCGACCCTACCCTGCTGACTGACTTCTGGGCCCGCCGTCCTGGGACTTCGGGAGCCGTCCCTAGAGGGGGGGGTCCTGTCACGAACTCCTCCAGCTGACTGCATTCCATTCATTCCTGCCACCAACGTGGCGACTGACGTCATCACGCCGGCACTACTTAAGGAAGTGCCGGCGTTTCATTCATTGCTCAGTCATCGTTTCTCACCAGACTTTGTATCGAGTCTCCAGGCTTACCAGCCCTCAAAACACTCATACTACACCTACAGGAGATAACCACGCCGGCTATCTCCGTCTCTCCGCGTCTGGGCAACAGAACTCTCAGTCACGCTTCAGATCTGCCAACGAACCTGACAGTAACAACACTGAGAAATGGTTTTTGGTATTTTGACTAATTTACCTAGGCGCTATTGAAAAAAATCCCTTAATTTTTGATGAAAATTATAATAAAATGAAGTGGTTCAATAGTTGCTCCTTACGTGGGAAAACATCAAAGGTGAGATTCCATAGAAAATATGGAATCAGTTTGATGCATCTTTGAATACCTAACCCTTTAAACGGAAGATCGGGACTTTTTATTGCAGGGATTAGGTAACACTTAACCCAGAGTCAAAAGAGAGAGACAAGTTTTAAAGTTTAAGAATATTTATTTCTAAACAATTTAAACAAGGCTAACTAACTCTAAACACTGTGTGATGAATGGATCTAGGTGTGAATGGGCCAAGATGGATGGTGTAATGTGGAATGTTGTTATCAGAACTCTCGTTTCCAGAGAAGCGTCGGTTCCGTGTGGGAGCGAATGTTTAGCTCTAAACTACAGTCGGAGTTTCAAAAACCACATCCAGACGCTATCTTGCCGCTCTACATACCCTTGGTGAAGACCTCTGTTGCAGATCCAGAATGCCAGGTCCTCGGACCCCCCTTTAGTACCGGAGCCGGTGAAACAGCGTACGGTACGACAGACTAGTCTTGGGATTGCCTCCAGGGTCAGTGAGTTGAGCTTTTACTCTGAAGGAGTGTTGCGTCAGGTGGAGCTTGCAACAGGTTTATAATCCAGCTTGTCAAGGTTCTTTGTGGTTAAAAAGCTACGAGTGGCCGGCTCGCAACTCCAGAACGTTTAAACTGAGTTAAGCGTGACGTGGGAGTTAGTTTTATAATTCAGGTGTTTTGATTTATGGTCCAATCAGAATGTGACAACAAAATGAACACCGCACAGACCACGCCACACGTCAGAAAGGAAAGCTCTGATTGGAGAGACGAAGGAATGTGTCATGTGATTTTAACATTACGTGTGATCAGTCTAGTGTGTAGTTTAAAGTTATGTTACTCATTAAAATACTAGCATAGGATTTTAATATCAAGTAATTAATATTGTCATTTCACAGATTGATTTAACATTGAGCTTCACGTGATTATTTGGACTGACAAAGTTATTTGATTATTATTTAATAGAGTTCTTCTGATCTTCTCTTGAGCTGTAGGGGGAGGCAAATGCTAGAGGCATCAAAGGCCTTGAGCAATATCTCACTGAGATAAGTTCTTCATGAGGAGAGATGACCTTTAGGTGGAAAACAGTCCCTTCATGATGCTACAAAAAATATTGGATTGTATGAAATGTGATCAAAACTGCTGTGTCTCATAGGTCTAGCTTAGTAACAACACTGAGAAATGGTTTTGTGGGTTTAGACTGATTTACGGAGCTATTGAAAAAAATCCCTTAATTTTGGAATAAAATCCTAATAAAAAAGATCAGCTTGTGTGAAATGTGTTAAAACTGTGGTGTCTTGTAAATGTAGCTTAGTAACACAAGTCAGAAGTAATTTTGAGTCATTTAGCTAATTATTCTGGAAGTTTTTATTTTTTTTTTGTACTCGTTTACAAAGGACTACAAATTTGTTGACGGTCCCTAAGCGAACCACCGTTCCCATTAGCCAGTCCTTGGAACTCAGCTAACCGCTGTGTGTGCTGCAGTGCACGGCATGCAAGGCTGGATTATAATATGGGCAAACTGGGCACAGGCCCAGGGGCCCCTGCAAAGATAATCCGGCCCTGGCGGCATGAAGACTTACGGCTGACCGTGTAAACCAACGTCTGTCGAACATCCGACGCTAACTTCACCGCGGGGCGAAAATCAGCTGATTTCCACGTTGTGTGTTTTTGAGGGTTCATGAAATGTTTGCAGGAGCTAAACTGTGGAATTACTCAAACTAAACATTCTGTGGATGTCTCCACAGAGGTTGTTGGAAGTGCTATCCACAACAGATGAGATGTGAGTTGTTGTTGGATTTTAGATTTTTAAAACAGCCACATTTATACTGATTAAGCCTTTATTGCAGTTTAATTTTAATTTGACTGTTTTATTCATATCAAAGGGACATTCCAACACCTAGTGAAATGTTGTCTACTGCCGGCTAACTCCCAGAGTTGGACAAGCGAGAAAAAAGCATTTTGTAACCAGCGCAGTGATTCTCCTGGTCTCTGCTTTAGCTTAGCAGGAACGATGGAAGTGAATAGCAGGAACTAGCATGTTATGTGTAAAAATATTACAATTACTCAATAGTAATGCCAATTGTTCCTGGTGAACTCCGTATTCATGTTGGTTGCAGATGAATAGTAAGAAGTACCACGAAGGATTTGCAGGAGCTGATTTAGACTTGGGACTGCGACAGCCCGCCGCTGCAGCCCGCCGCTGCAGCTGCAGCCCGCCGCTGCAGCCCGCCGCTGCATGGAAATAACAGCGGTTGAAGAAGGCTACTGCGTTTTCTGAGAGTAGTCCTCTTTTGTGAAGTGTTTATGGCAAACCACATATTTCTTAATTTCCTCAGCGGGTGTTGTGGAACTTCTGTGGGAACATCGTGAAATATCCCGCTGCTGAATGTCCGCGGCTCGTTTCCACGTCCCTTTGCTGCACACATAACGGGCTTTTTCTTGTATTACGGCTGCACACAAAGTGCTGCTGCGGGAAGAAACGCTGTGCAAATCGCACGTTTGCTTACAGAAGCCGGACGGAGGTGGACTTTTTGACCCATGCGCCATGCAGCGGCGGGCTGCAGCGGTGCTTTGTCGTAATGCAGTCCCAAGTCTAAACCGGCTCCTGGAAATCCTTCATGTTACGTTTTACTTTTCATTTGCAGTTGACCTGATCACTGAGCTCACCAGGAATAGTTGGTGTTTGAATCCCTTTTGCACACAAAATGCTCGTTCCTGCTATTCACTCCCGTCGTTCGTGCTAAGCTAAGACAGACGGGCGGCTGCCAGACCAGGAGAACCACTGCGCGGGTTACAAAATGCTGTTTTCTCGCCTGTCCAACTCTGGGAAATATGGAAATAGACCAAATTTCACTAGGGGTGGAATTTCCCTTTAAATTGATGCTGTTGGTCAAAACTAAAACAGCTGTACATTTGATGTGTTTGAAAGTCCTTGAACACATCAACAGGGTGTAAATTACAACCGATATTTATTAACTTTACTGTGAACTACATTTAAAAAACTGCATCAAATAAAACTAATTAAACCAAACCGTCGTATTTACCTGCTGCCTAAAGAGTGAAGGTGCACAACTGATTTGTGTGGAATAAAGAAAAAAGTCTCGTTTTCAGACATTGTTCGTGTTTTCATGATTGTAGGAATACGTTTCCTTCATTTGTCTTTAAACTCGGGATTTCTCTTTCATATTTTGGTCTGAAAACCAAAGAGCTTTGGCTCCTCCACTGATGTGAAGATGCCTTTGTCTGCATGTCCTTCAGCTGTCCGCGGCAGCCCGGTTTACAGACCCGCCACCTCGCCCATTCTGCAGCAGTGTCTGAACCGAGCCAGTGGTCTGACGCCCAGCAGGAACAGGGGAGGGCCCAATGGAAGTAGTGGCAGGGCTCGGCTGCCATCCAAACCTGAAGGTACGTGTTAGTAACTTACAACACCTTCAATCAAACCGTGTTTGTTTGTCTAGAAAACCACATTACAGTAAAAAATGTGGTGTTGCTTTAGGGTTTACGTCTCTGAGTAACTGTGCTTGTGTAGATTGTCCCTGGATCACCCCAGCAATGAGAGCAGGTAACCGTTTTTATTTGAGCGGAGTTAATGATCCACACATTCTTTGTACATCAATAAAAACTCATCTGTGAACATGTGACAGGCGTGGTAGAGAATTCCCTCCAGCTCAGTTTGGTAGATTTTTGTTGGATTACACTGCCCCCTTCAGATCTACGTCTGAATTACAGCTTGATGGTTTTTAACCTAATTTCCGGTTTCTTTTCTCTCCAGTGCCTCCAAAGCCGGAGCACCTAAAGAGCCCGGTGACGTCACTTGCATCCCCACTGGCCCACTTCCAGAATCCACCACCGCCGCTTAGACCCAACATGGAGGATCGGGAAGGAAAAACGGTCCCTGTGAGCCGAGAGCGAATCAGGGACAAACAGTCCAAAGTGTCAAACCTGATCAGCCGCTTTGAGGAGGGCAGGTACAGACCTCTGTGTTTACTCTCTCTCTTTAGAACGATCAGAAAAGATGGATGAAGACTTCTGTAGGAACTCTGTCCTGCTCCACCTGGCCTTGTGACACAATCCAAGACCCCCCCCCCCCCCCCCCCCCCAAAAAAACAATCACCTCTCATCATCGGTATCACTTCAGGACTGTCGTAATAAAGCAGCATCTTTCCTAATCGAAGGTTTTCCTTACAAGCGCTTCCTATGCTGGCTGTTTTGTGTGTGGAAAGCAGAAGCAGCAGTGAGAGTCGTCGCTCTGCCCTGACTGGGTGATTTTACCTGCAGTGGCAGCTGTAGTCAGACGAGCTGGTGGAGATTAGTCTACGTCTGACAAGCCGAGCGTTAGCGAAGGGACCAGAGGAGATTTGCAGTCAGGGGGAACACAGCTCCTCAGTTGTGGGACAGGACTCGCTGTTACAAGCACAACCCAGCTGAGAGGTAGGATTCCTTTCGCTGGACCTTTTCTCTAATAGAACAACAGCTTTTGGATCATCTTGCAGTTGCACATTAAGTTAGCTTCGATGCAGCATATTAGAGCTTTCTAGTTCCGTAAATAGGCCTAAATATTGATCAGCGGTGCTTAAATGCTGAAGTTTGGATTGGAAGCTGCTTGTAAAGATGCACCTAAGAATAATGTGTCTGCAGATCCCACTCGGATTTGGAATTCTTACGGGATTTCTGTGCTTTCCTCATGTTTTTTATCCAAGTTTCAGCCGGTTGGGGCTCGTTGAGCTGTGTGCTGTTTACTAGCAGAGCAGCGAGACAGAATTAAATTAGATTAATAACTAATCCCATTCACATGGCACCCAGCTCCCCTGGAACACGCCTAGATGGCCTCGGTGGCGGTTGCACTGACACATTTGTAAACGAACACTCGCTCTGCCGTCTACGACCACTAGGGAACGGTGCATTCAGACGTTTTGTGTCTATGCGTTGGTCTACAGCGTCTAACCAGCTGCTGTTTCAGTCGTCTCTAAGAGGTGAACACCTTTCGTTTGGCATTACTGGACTCAGGTGGCCCGCGTACCAGAACTGATTCATCAGTAGAGCGCTCCACCAGCCTGTTGTTGTTCCTCTATTTATACATACTTCCTGTTTCTGCTGAGCAGCAGCTCTCGTTGCAACACCAACTGCGTATCATATCGGTGAGGGTTGGACGCCAGAATGCGCTGGGTCGTGTTTAAAGTCGTATTTGCAGCCAGGTTGAGATCAGAAACGACCAACAGCTGCAGGACGTGAGAAGAGCCGCTCACAGGGGGGAAACAGCTGCATCTGCATCACATCACAGGATGTAGAGCAGCTGGATCGCGTCACTGTACGTGCACCATGTGTGTTTGTTTGATTGTGTTGTCACAATGTGGGTTTTTTTTTTTTTTTTTGCTTTCTTTTGTTTCATCTGGTGCAAAGATGTGAGCGGGGGGGTTTTCCGTGTGGAAGTAGGCCCGGGTTCCTCCTCATGTCCTGGTCGTGTTGTTTTTATCACTGCACCTCCAGTTCTTCTACACTTGCACTTCACACAGGATGGCAAGAAGTTTGCTCTTCTCACGCTTCATTTTTAACTCTTACACCCACGTGCAACAGCGCTCTGCTCACTGCCGTGTTTCACACTCACTGACAGCGTAAGCAGCTAGTGAAGCGTCTGCAATCTTTGCTTTCACCTTTTACCAGTTTCTACGTTCATTTAGATTCCTTGGTGGCATCTGGCTGACACACTTCCTCCTTTGCCTTTTTCTCTCTTCCTCCAGCATCGCAGACAACAAGAAAGACAGCAAATACACCAGCAGAGCCGCCAACTTCAGCCCAGCGCACCGCACCAACAAGAAGACAGAGAGCAGCACGATTCAGGACAAGCACTCCCCCGTGAGAGCCGACGATGCCAAGAGAGCAGCAGCAACGAACGGGGTGCTAGTGCAGATGGAACAGGACACGGAGGAGAGGAAGAGTCCTAACAGTGTGAGGACAGAGCCTGCAGAGCTGGTGAATGGAGACATGGGAAGTGCTGAGCCGAGGGCTGATCGTTCACCGGCACAAACAGACGGGACTGCTGCAGAGAGCCACGCTCAAAAGAAAGAGATTGAAACAAACGGCGTGCAAAAGAGTGACGAAAGGAGCTCAGAGCAGAAGGTATGTCCGTCTCCGCTGCTGACTTCTCCTTAGACCAAACAACCAGAAGCATTCGTTCACGCTAGTTGGTGTAACGCCACAGTGGGAGTGAAGAGTGTGTGCAGATCCTTGTGAGGCCTGGGAACAGCTGGTGGTGCCCTAGCAACCAACCCCGCGAGGACCTGTGGTGTCGGTGTTGTCAGATTAAAAATATCATCTCCGTCTTCTCAGGGATGAAAACACGGCCTCAGTGGCACGAAACAGGAAGGGCTGAAGTAGAACAAAAGCAACAGAATCTATAAATAACAGCAGGAGAAGAAACACGAGCGAGCTAGGTGTTAGCCACGCAGCTCGCTGTCTGATGAACGCTGCAACGTATCATCTGAGGAATAAATATCTGTGGTGCAACATTTGAATGAAGATTTTAGCTGGAAGAAAGGAACATCAGCTGATCTGAGGACCTTTTCTCTGACTTCATCTCAACCAATAACAGCTGATCAGGAAGTGACGCCAGTTTTCCTCTTTAATCGGGAATCGAGGCACTCAGCATGCCTCTCACATATAAAGTCACCGCCGTCCCTTCGGTGGGTTTTTGAAAGGAAAGCGCGGGTGTTGCAGCTGTCAGCCATCTCTGCTTTGTTTAATATCAGACCTGCTTTTTGTGCTTTGGTGGGTTAAAATGTGCTGAAATTCTCCCAGAAACCCCAAAACGATGCACTCTGCAGCTTTTCCTTCAAGAACATGGGTAAAGCTCAGGCGTCAGCACAGAAAGAGAACGGGATTTTAATGTGGCTGTGTTTGGTGGAGCTTGTTTTATAACGTTTCTGTCAGGAAAACGGCAAATTATTATTTAATTCATGCAAACATTTCTGTTGTTTTTGCCTTTAGCAGCTAAATTTGTTTCTAAACTAAGAAACTCTGTGTGTTTCTACCATTTCTGGCTATGCCTTTGCAGAAAAAAAGATTTTAATCTCTGTGCACCTAACCTGGATTATGAAAGGTTTAAAATCCCCGCGGAGGAAACCGGAAGGTTTAAGTAGAGCCGTGTTGCTGAGCCAAGAGGTCACTGGGTTACAGCTTTGAACACGTGACGGGGTTAATAACGTTTGAAAACGTGTCACAAGGAAGTGCGAGGCTGGCTGTCGTCAGGTCACTCAGGAGGTTTCACCGTTCAGCAGCAAAGATTTCACTTCTACAGTCTCCGCTGCTGGATTTCGTGCCATTTCCTTTATTCCATAGATTCATTTCCTGCTTCTAGCAGCTTCCCACGACACCACAGCCCAGCCACCTCCCAGCTCGGTGTCAATAACACACACAGCTGGCACAAAACGCCGACTCGGCCTCAGACAGGGAGGAGGTGAACGGAATCAGTGTGACCATAAAAATGTTTATTTCTAAGCTCTACTCAACCAGGAACTAAGAGATCATAGAGCCAGCTTAAAAAACGGCGACAGTTATAGACGTAAACCCTTCTGATCTTCCTGGTTTCCGTTTTATTTTCAGCCCAGATGAACTTTGTTGTCTTTGAGGAGATTTAAGCCTTAAAACGTTTTCACTGTAAAGCTTTTCAAGCATCTCTATTAATGCAGCGTCTCTTTTTCAGGAGACTAACGAACAAAAGCTGTTTAACATCGCCAGCGAGCTCCTGCACACCGAGCAGGCCTACGTGGGGCGACTTGCACTGCTGGATGAGGTCAGGAAGTTGCCAAAATCCACCAAATCTCACTTCTGCTTTCTGTCATGTAAGCTCACACGTCTCCTCTCCTCTCCTCTCCTCGTGTTTGCCCCTCCAGGAGTTCTGTGCTAAGCTGATGGAGGAGGCACACAAAGGAACGTTCCCTGTGGATGTGGTGAAGAACATCTTCTCCAACATCTGCTCCATCCATGCCTTTCACAGCCAGTTTCTGCTTCCCGATCTGGAGAAGCGCATGGGGGAATGGTGAGCTTTATAAAATATTTAAATGAATACATGCTTTGGGGATTATTTTTAACTAAAGGAAAATGCATTTTAAAGCTTAGAATAATGAATGAAAATAAATGTAAAGGTGCTGTTTGTAAGAGTAGAGTAATGGTGACATCCTGTGGTCAAATGTGGTTACTGCAACATCAGTCTCTGGCGTTGCCAGTTAGGGATAGGACTCTACGGTTTATATACGTGTCAACAACCATGAAATCCTATCTGTGTTTTCACCATCAGCTACTTTAAAAACCAATTTACCATACATAAGTTTGTTTCTATTGACCATTTTAAAGAAGTTTAATGTAAAAGATCATCAAAAATAGTCAAATTAAATTAAAATGTACTCTAATGGAATAGTTTTACTTTTATTATGCAAAAAATCTATTTCAATGAGGAATTTGTATTATTAACTTAATCTTTGATTAAAAACGTACTTATTCATCTTTAAAGGTCATAACATTTGTGGAGAAAAAGGCAATAAGACTAATCAGTAATGCTGTTATAAAGCTCACACAAAAGGTTCATATTTAAATTCACAAACACAACAATTAAAGGATATTGTGGATCTTAAAACTGCACAAATAATGTTCAAGGCAAAAAAACAGATTACTCCCAAAAAGTATACAAAACGGTTTACAGAGATAGTAGTTATGTATATATGTCGATGATATAAACACACACACATATACTAATATATATAAATATATTTGTATGGAAAATGTGAAAATAGGTTGGATTACGGATGCATGTTCAAAAATAAGCGTATTCATTCATAACTAATCTTTAGTGGATCAACAGCTGGAAGGTTTGGCCGCTACTGCTCTGATGTGAGCTCAACTCGACTTGATAAAAAGTTCAAACTATTTCAAACTAATTTTCTTAAAATACACACCCACAAATTTTAAACTGTCTGTACTGAAAGAAAAATCCGGTGATATGAAGATTTTTTTTTATTTTCAATACATCAATAATCCATCCTTGTTGCTCCGACTCTCCAGGAGGTCCAAACCTCGGATCGGGGACATTCTTCAGAAACTCACACCCTTCCTGAAAATGTACGCCGAGTATGTGAAGAATTTCGACCACGCCATGGATCTGCTGAAGCATTGGAATGACCGCTCGCCTCAGTTTAAGTCCATCATTCAGGAGATACAGGTACAGGATTGGTTGTGTTCTTTCAGCGGTAGACCCAAGGTGAACATGAGGATGTCCCTCTGTGAGGACTGATGCATCGAAGGACCACTCAAGCTTTCTGCTTTTGTAAAAACAGAGTCAAGAGATCTGCGGCAGTCTGACGCTTCAGCATCACATGCTGGAGCCGGTCCAGAGAGTCCCTCGCTACGAGATGCTGCTGAAAGATTACCTGAAGAAGCTGCCCCAAGACGACCCGGATCGCAGAGATGCAGAAAGTAGGTGGAAGTGGTTTCTGAATTCCCCACAGAGACGGGAGAGCCCTGTCTGGCTTTCCTGAATGACGGTGAATATCTTCCCTCCTCCAGAGTCGTTGGAGATTATTGCTACAGCAGCGACTCATTCCAACAGCGCCATTAGAAAATCTGTAAGTAAAGATGCAGATTTCCTGAATCTGTTGACAGTTTTCCAGCTGACTAATAAAAAAAATCCACCTCAACGGTTTTAGGAAATTTTAAAGAAGCTGATGGAGATCTATGAGATGTTGGGTGAAGAGGAGGACATTGTTCATCCGTCTAACGAGTTCATCAAAGAAGGCCACATCCTGAAGCTGTCCGCCAGGAACACCTCCGCAACAGAGAGCTACCTCTTCCTGGTGAGGAAAAGGAAAATGAAGGATGCAGTCAGGAATGTGTCTCTGCTGTGTGGGATCCATGTGGGGAACATGAAGGTTTATCAGTAACAAACATCTACATGATGCGGTTATTAGCTGCTTTCAGGATGAGTCCCAGAACTCTGATGACCTGCAGCTTTATTTCCATTCCATTAGTTTGATAAAGCACATTTAAAAACAGCAAGTGAGCTGACCAAAGTGCTGTACAGGGGTAAAAACCTATAAGGGTAAAGGAATAAAACAGCTAGAGCACAGCACAAAGATCCGAACAAGAGAAGTACGTAAAATCAGTAAATAAACCTAGATTAAAGAACTAGGCAGGAACAGCAAGGGAATAAAAGTAAGTCTTTAAGTGAGACTTAAAAACCCCCAGTGGAGGAGGAGAGTCTGATATTCAGCGGGAGATCATTCCAGAGTTTCGGAGCGCAGACAGAAAAAGCTCGTTCACCACGGGTTTTGCAGCGTAGACGGGGAATCTGTAGTAGGTGTAGGTCACCTGAACAGAGAGTCCTGCCCGGCACATAAGGAGTAACTCGGATAAGTAAGGTGGAGCTAAGCCATTCAGCGCCTTAAAAACAAACAATAACATTTTAAAACGTATGCGGGAGTGCACAGGAAGCCAGTGAAGTCTTGCTAAAACTGGAGTGATGTGCTGCCGACGGCCAGTATTGGTCAGAAATCTTGCTGTCGCATTCTGTTTCAGCTGAAGGCGAGATCATGCAGCTTTTGAAATGCCAAACAGAATTGCGTTGGAGTAGTCCAACCTTGAGGTGATGAAGGCGTGAATGGTTGTCTCGAGGTGGCGCCGACTCAGAATGGGTTTTAGTTTGGAAAGACATCTCAGCTGATAAAAACATGATTTAACCATGTGACTAACACGAGGGTCCATTTTTAGAGCCGCACCCATTTTAATTCCAAGATTAACAATTGTTTGACTAATTTTAAAAGGAAGAGCAGAAAAATCAGGAGCGGAGGAAGACGAGCCATTAGGAGTAAAAACAATAAACTCTGTCTTAAAATCATTCAGCAGCAGAAAATTTGCTGCCCGCCAGTCTTTAACCTCACTCAGGCAATCAAGGAGCGGCTGGATGGAGGTAAAAGTCTTCGAGGGAACATAAATCTGGCAGTCGTCCGCATAAAGGTGAAAGTTAATGTTGAACTTCCTGAAGATTAGTCCCAGTGGAATAATATAAATGCTAAATAAAAGGGGGCTGAGGATAGACCCCTGTGGCACGCCCCAAGGAAGAGCAGCAGAGGGAGATGAACAGTCGTCCATCCTAACTCTAATAGACCTGTTGTCAAAGTAGGAGCAGAACCAGTCAAGCGCGGATCCCTTAATGCCGACCAAATTCTCAAGGCGGGACAATAAAATGTCATGGTCAACCGTGTCGAATGCAGCTGAGAGGTCCAACATCACCAGGGCAACATGGGAACCGGAATCAGTGGCTAAAATAATATCATTAAAAACCCTGATGTGAGCGGATTCTGTGCTGTGAGATTGTCTAAAACCAGACTGGAACTTATCCAAGACCCCAAAATTGTTCAGATGGGGCAACATCTGATTATAAACAGCCTTTTCCATCACTTTTGACGAGAAGGGGAGCTTTGAAATGGGGCGACATTTCAGCCTGAGTGATGATTCTTTTTCTCCTAGTTCAACAACATGCTGTTATACTGCGTGCCTAAATTCAGCCTGGGAGGGCCTAAATACACGGTGAGGTCACGGATCGGGATTGACGGGTTGAAGGTCAAAGAAACGATCAACAAGGACTACCCTCACACCTTCCAGGTGTCGGGCAAGGAGAGGACGCTGGAGCTTCAGGCCTGGTAGGACCCACACCCATTACAGTTTTCCAGGCCAACAGAGAAATCTGTTTTTTAGGGCTCTAAATTAGCCAATTCTGGTTTTATTTGGTTATGTAACAACAAACCATCACCTCCTGATCTACATAGTTCGTACACGAACGGTTGATTTCTGAGTAAAGCCTATTGGGCAGAAAGTCGGCCGATTCCAGTCACCTGCAGAGAAATCTGTGCATTATTTTAAATTTCCACCACACACCAATTCCTTTATTTTCTTTAGGTGAAATCTGTCACGTTTGCATTGGTTTGTTTGAATTTATTTAAAGAAATGTCTTGTTTTTGTGCTTTAAAGATCTTTTTGGTGTTTTGTTTCCCTACTCAGCTCAGAGCAAGACAAGGCAGACTGGATCGAGGTACCGAGAGAAAAATCTTCTCGTTTGCATTTATTTGGTTTTAAATTCGATTCTAAATGATGCGTTCGATTTTTGTAAGGCTGTTCAAAAAACCATCGAGATCTTCCAGCAGAAGAATGAGTCATTCAAGAGCGCTCTGAAGGAAGCAGAGGAAGTTTCGGTGAGCATCAAAAGTCAAACACAGTCCAGCTGACATGTCCTCGTGTCGTCACCAACGAGCGTGCTCTTACTTGTGACGCAGGAAGCTGAGCTGGGAAAGCGGGCCCCCTGCTGGATTCGTGACAACGAAGTGACGATGTGCATGAGGTGTAAAGAGCCTTTCAATGCCATCACACGGCGGAGACATCACTGCAGAGCCTGCGGCCATGTAAGCATTCTGCATGAAATGACCTCTGAAGCACAACGTGGTTCTGTAAAAATGTTGATTTTAACCTCATTTAGTGTTGCTGTTCGTAAAATTATTAGTTGGTTAAAGGTTGATCAGTCATTCGTTGTTATTTTGGTCATTTACTGGGAATTTAAACCTCTTGGAGGAAAATTGGTGTGACCAAGTCACTGCTTTGCAAGTCACAAGTCTTTCCAGTCAAGTCAAAGACAACCAAGTCCAAGTCGAGTCCAAATCCTGAACTTTGAATTTTCAAGTCGTAATCAAGTCGTCTGTCCAACTGACGATGAAAATAAATGAATTCCAGAATTAAAGCTTCTTAAAGCTTCGTTTATTTGCTCAAACCAGCAGGAACTGAAACTGATTCCAAACAAAGTGCTGCTGCAGAACAACAAACCCAGATTTTTGTCCATGTCGAGCCACTTTTATGCTAAAACATCAAATGTGCTCAAGTCATCATCAAGTCAACAGAAGCAAGTCGATTCAAGTCGAAAGTCATTGGCGTTCTAGTCCGAGTCAAGTCAAAAATCTTTATAGATTTTATCAAGTCAAGTCAGAAGTCATTAAAATAATGAATCAAGTCTGAGTGGAGTCCAAGTCATGTGTCTCGAGTGCACACCTCTGCTGAGCATCTCATCTGGAGACGCACAAAAGCAGTTTTCTCTCCATGTCTGGATTTTAGCAGCAGAAAAACGCTGACTCGTACGCAGCTGCATGAAGGATAACTGGCATCTCTTAATGTCTCAGGTGGTGTGTTGGAAATGCTCCGAGTACAAAGCACAGCTTGAATATGACGGCAACAAGATGAACAAAGTCTGCAAAGACTGCTACTTGGTTCTGATGGGAAAAGAGATCACGGAGGACAAGAAGAAAGGCATTCTGGAGGTGATTTTATGTGTTTTCACACTAAGAATTAAAGGGACAAGGAGCCCAAATGGGTCAGAACATTCAAGTGAGGTACGGTTTTTATTGATCCTGTTTTATTTTGCGTCTGACGCAGGTGGAGGCGGGCCAGATCGCAGACAGCAGCATCATCTGTGGCTACTTGCAGCATTCTGAGAAAAGCAAAATTTGGCAGAAGGTCTGGTGTGTGATCCCTGAGAAGGAGAGTCTGGTGCTCTACGTCTACGGAGCTCAACAGGTGAAAACCAGAGACCGTCAGCTGCTTGTGTTATTTAGCTTTTACAGCTGCTCACTGTCCTTTCTGCAGGACGTGAAGGCCCTGAGCTCCATCCCTCTACTGGGTTATTCTGTGGATGAAACCGTCCGGCCTGGTGACCCTCCAGCCGTTTTCCGTCTCTCCCAGTCCAACTTGGTCCACAACTTCTCTGCTGACACCGACGAGCTGAAGCATCGCTGGCTGAAAGTGATTCGAGTGGCGGCGGCAGGCGAGGTACCGACACGACCCGAGGCTAACGGCACCACCAGTTTGGATAACGGCGACACACATGAAGCTAATTCTGATAGCTCATAAAAGCAGCATGAATCTGCTGATGGACTCCAGAACCGATGGGGACGTGTGGACAAAGTTCAAACACAACCTTCGTTTTTTTTTAAGTGCTGGATCAGCGGCCTTTTTATTTCCCTCCTGCTGGAACTGTGCTGGATGACTAACGGACGCTTCGGGTACATTCAACACTAGAGCGGATGCACGCTCTCGTGGGACAGTCCGGATGTCCTCCACGGTCACCGCACCTCGTTCAGAATGTGAATCAAACCCAAACCTGCTGGTGCTGTTCTTCGTTCTTCTTGTACATCAAGTTTTTTTGTTAAAAAAGAACATTTTTATGTACATAAATCAGTCCCGAGCTCCACTTCTATAAAGGACAAACGCGTAAATATGATTTACAGTATTTACAGTAATTCCATCTGTTTAACGGCCTGAGAAGATTGTTCCTAAACTGTTACGCAGTTCCCGTCTTTGGACGCTGACGGCCCCATCTCCTGTTTTCTGTCCGCTCCAGGACATCAGAAGACCCGTGAGTGTAAAAGTACAGCTTAGTGAGGTGAATACGGATCAAATCTTATTTAATTTATATAACGTTTGGAGTTTGATGATCAATCCAAGCATTTTCTGCATCTGGTCATCATTCCAAGCCTGTAAGCCTGAAGCCTTAGTCGTTTCCTTATTAACAGATTTTTGTCCTGAGAAAAACGTCAGTGACATCACAGTGACATCACAGTGACATCAGTAACATCACAGTGACATCACAGTGACAGTGTGCAGACATTTTTACGGTGAGTCGACTCAGGAGAGGTTAGAGATGGTTGAATAAATTAGTGATTTGTTTTAATGGACTTCATTTTAAGTGCTGTTTATACTGCAATCATGTATTTTAAAATGGAAAATGTAAAAAAAAATAGTATTTTATCCGAGGATGTTTTCCCGCCCACTGGACATGGGTGTTCCAGACGAGTATCGGACATTTTCCTCCTGACGCAAAAGCAGCACAATCTGCGTGTAAAAGTTTGGAAAAGCTGTAATTAATTGTCTTATTTAAAGTAATTTATAGTTTGACGAGCGTGGTTCGTTAATCATGCATCCTGTTTTTGTTTTGCCCACTAACCCACAGCGGCCGCCAGCCGTGGAGAAATGTGCCTCTAATTTCCAACGCGAGCGTTCGCCCTGCTCCGTTCCCTTTCCCTCCTCAGTATTCCAATAAGAGCACAAGTCCTGTCTGGTAAACGTAGAGCTGCATTTCTGTCTCACCTCTTTCCAAAGGATTGAAAGTCTCACGCACTTTAGGCCTTAAAAGTGTACCTTTAAAGGAAATAAATGACATTCAGTGAGTTGTCCTTCTGGTGGTCAGTGTTGTGGTGCTACTCCCACACCGCAAGTCTTGTTTTTGTTCTGCTGCTAGTTTTACACGATGAGTCAACCAAACATGGCTGAAGCAGCGGTCGCCGTCATCAGAAACGACGCCGCGTCCCACACGGGACAGAAAACCGCGTCCCACACGGACGCTGGTCATTTGGGCGTCATAAAAGTTCCAAACACATTTCAAGTACTTAGAAAATTTTATTTTCACAAAAAGGAAAAAAAAACATCAGATTAGAAATCCCTCTGAACAGGTAGAACTATCGCAGGTGTTTATCAAACAGAATCGTTGGCATAATTAGAATATGAGACGTCTGGAGCTCTACAGCGATCCCGACGGCCCGTAGAAGATCTGGACCGGTGGGCATGAATCAGTTTAAACTGACGTTTATCTTCTGTTGACATCAGCCTTTAGCGTGTCGGAGCAAGCCGCGTATTCTGCGGACCAGCGCCTGGATGAAGGTGTAGCGAGAGCGGACTTGACTGTACGAGCTTTCTATGTCGAGTAGTTTCCTCTGCAGAGTCTCGCCAAATCCGGACGCCATGTCACCTTTCAGCTGCACAGAAACAGCAAACAGGACGAAGGCCTTTAGAATCGGGATAAAAGCTAATGAATGTGGTCAACTCAGCAGTTAGCCACATCTTCTTACCAGGTCCAGATCTTGCTGGCTGACTCTCGACAGACCAAGGCCACGGCCGCCGCCGGCCTGCAGGCCCCCCAGGGACTCTGGAGAAAACAAACGTGAGTTTTTAATAACACCTCTGTATAAACAGTTTTGTTATTAGGGCGAGACAATATCGGTATCGGCCGATGTTGGTCCTGTTTCAACATATCGGTTCGATAAATAAAACCGGGCTGATACTACCAACCTAACCCTAACCCATGAAATCATCTCAGAAGCATGAATGTGTGCACAATAACGTAAATTCAGCTTTAATCATTTTAATTCTACACAAAATCTTCTGATTTTAGAAGCATTCATGTCAGGATGTCAGTATCGGCCATAACAGTGATATCGGTATCGGTGCATCACTAATTACATGTCTGAGTATTTATAGCTGCGCTTGAGCCAACGACTGCATTAATGATCTGTTTAACGTAAACCAGCAGTTGGAAAGCTTAACCCACCATCTGGGAGGCGGGATCTGAATAAACTGGATCCGGGCAACAAGGAGTCCCTAGGGTCAGAGGGGGTGCAATACAACAGGTAGTACTCCAGGTGGCGCCATAACACAAATAAACTGGTCTCGATCACATCTGAGGAAGACTCGTTAAGGCCTGAAAGGAGCGAGCTGACGAACCGAAGGAAAACCATTACTGGAGGTTTTATTTGGCTGCAAGCAAAAGCCGAAGGATACAGGAGCATAACGCCAGCAGCTTGGCTCTGTTGTTGATCAGCTGGACCAGTCGTCTTTTAGCTAGCAGGCTCCTCTGGACTGAGGAGATCTTCTCCACCCCTCCTGGACCGGACACCAGGCCTTGGCACAGCTGCACAGAGGAAATGTGAATAAGAACCACGAGAAGGAGGACGGCCTCCTCCAGAGGACAACAGCCCTGCTGCCCTCTAAAAGGTCCGATGATCTGAAAGATGCAGTTCAGCGAGACCTGCTGCCAACTTCTGTCCCACTCAGTCAGCCAATATGTGAAAGAGATCATTAACGTAGAAAACCATCAAATATGTCAAGTCATGAATGAAAGTTGCCTCTTTGAGCTCCTCTGGAGGCAGCTGGTCCAGAATCTGCAGCTTGGCCAGACCGTGTTTGTGGCTCTGGTGGAACTGGCAGAAATCTGCAGCGCTGTTCCTCAGCAGGTACAGGACCAGGCCCAGGCTCGGGACCCGCGAATGGGCAACCGATGGCAGAGAAGTCGAGAGATCTTTAAAAAGAAAACAAGAAAGAGGAAACCGGACGAGATGAGTGTTTCTGAATGATGAAACTCACTAGACGTCTAAAGTGAGCGGCAGAAAGAGGAAACACATTTAAGGTGACCATCACCGACCCGAGGGCCTGCCGTCTCTGCCGGCCGGTTCGCTGCCCGACGGGCTGAAGAGGCAGATGCTGAACTGAGCCTGAGAAGAGCTCTGCAGCAGAAGAGTCTGGCAGTACTCCATGATGTTGGCACACACCTAGGAGAGAGAGGCACTCGTGAGCCGGGTCACCGACTAGACACAACAACTGAGCACCAACGATTAAAGTCAAACCTGCAGCATGGCCACCTCCATCTCCTCTCTGTGTTCGGCTGAATCTGCAGGTGCAGAAATCTCCGCCTGCTTCAACAACCTCTCCCGTTCCCCTCCTGCCAGGCGACTCAGCAGCGCCAGACACAAACGCTGCAAGAGGCACATCTGTTACCAGCTGCACACCATGAGGCTGATTTAGGACCCTGGAAGGTTCCTGCAGAGAACATTTAAGGTGGTCTCACCTGGAATCTGTTAATGTGACCCTGGAACTCCATGAGAGCAGCACTGTTGAGCTCTCCACCCGTCTCCAGGACACCTGGATGAACACGAAGTCCCTTCCATAAGTCACAGACGGAGAGTTTGCACACACAGAGGTAAGTTACTGCTGAATACCTGGCAGTGCAGTTTTACTGATGATGCCAGTAAGCAGAGAGAGTTCCTGCAGAGCTCCCATGGTGAGATCCTGACAGCGCAGCAGGGACTGGACGGTGTCCGCGTGGACGATCAGCCACTGGAGAACCTTTATGTTCCCGAACCAACACAACACTCCACTTTCTTACACCTCAGAGCTAGAAGCAGGTACACGTTTCATGTTTTTATGTCTGGTAGAAAATATTCACCTGCGCTGCCCCCTGCTGGTGATTTATGGATGTAGACGTCAGGATCACCTGAAAGAGCCTCAAGGTCGGCAAAAGAATCTGCCGGTAGCGGTCTAAAGGGGACGGTACGAAGCCAGATGGATCCCTCGTCATCCTGAGGCCACATTTAAACAAACGTAAAGATAATCAGCGCTGAACATGTCAGTTCAACAGAAATAAACAAGAACGGTCTCTAATGGGAAGAGGCAAGTCTCACACCTGAGGGAATCGCTCTCGGGCACCATGTCAAACACCTGACACTCGATCAGCTGAGCCACCAGGCCACAGCGCAGCAGCTCCACCGCTCCTTCACCACTTTTAGCCACACGGGTGAGGAGAGCCTGGAGACACGCAGAAGAGTTCAACACCGTTCAGAGCTGGCAGTCACAATCATTTCCTCACCATCTTGCTCTCGTAGATGTAGAGTGGTTTGAGGAGAGGTGGCTGGGGGGTCAGCAGGCTCTGTAGGGCGGCGTCGTCCTGTCTCACGCTCTCCACCAGAGAACGCAGGTAGCCGCTGTTGCACACGTACACCAGCCACTGATTCTGGCGGTCTATTGACAGGATACGGTCCAGAACCGCCAAAGCCAGCATCTGACACCAACACAACAGGAAGTCAACCATGGGCTCAAGAGAGAAGGTAAAGAGTGGTCTCACTAATTACCCTGCTTATCTCGTGGCCGTCACAGGCATCCCTACACACAACCTCCATGAGGGACTTGCCATAGCTTTCGATTATTGCCAGATTCTCCCTCTGCAGCTTGGAGAAGCCATCTTCAGGGGCAGTGAGACGCTCCCACATGGCTTTACTAGCTGCACAGACAGAGACGTTCTGAGATGATGAACCCTATCCAGACACAGCCTCACCAAAGAGCAAGTGTGTTCAGCTGCACCTTTCTGCAGAGTGTCTGGCTCCTCAGGCTTTTGAGCCATTTGCAGGTAATACAGCAGAGAGCCATACAGGTGAGCGCGCAGACGCTGGTATCCTCCTCCTGCCAGTGTTAAAGCTTTTTAATGTTTTGATCAACAAAACAGGAAATAAAGATTCTTTCAGCCAAAGGAGTTTTAAGGATTCACCAACCAGTGCACAGAATGAAGTCTAGCAGCTTGCGGAGGATTAAATGAAGGGATGAATTAGCAATGGACGCAAAGCCAGAAGACGTTTCAGATCCCAAGCCCTGCTGCTGCTCGGAGAGCACCGCCTGGCTGAGCTGAGCTGTGAGGGTGAAGACCGCTCCAGCAACAATGGGCATCAGCTCTCCTGCTGCATCCTCCGATAAAACCTGCATTAACATTTGTGTTGAGCAGTTTTCTACACCGCTGCACTGAAAATGGTGTAAATACCCAATACGACGGAACATTTCCTCACCTTATCATGCAGATCCAGCAGCAAGTCTCTGATGATGAGCTGCCTGTCGTCAGCAGGTATGAGATCAGCTGGGCAGGCGGTCAGCAGCGTCTCCACGAGGCTCCTCCAGGACTGCAGCGCGTGTCGCTTTGCGCTCAGACTGCGGCGAACGCGGTTGCGTTCTACCACGTGCTGCAGGATGGAGTTCACCTCCTGCCAAGACAACAGTTAGCTCAAGCGTTTAAATGAGTGTGTATGAATCACAAGGAACGCCCCAGAGATGTCCCTTACTTCCATTAACAGGGGCCGTTGTCCTATTGCTGCCATTCCTTGTAGCGCATTCACCTCGGCCACCAGCACCCTGTGAAGCAACTGCACGCCACACAGACCCGTTCACGAGGACGAACACGCTGAAACCCTCAGAGACTCACGCTGTGTGCGTGTGAACTCACCTTGACGTTGCACACAGTGTGGCCCTGCTCATTAACGTGCTCACAGTTGGAGATCACCTGCTCTATTTGAGTACGCTCAAAAAAGTCCAACTGCAGCAGCTCCGGCAGGTCCTGACTGAAGTCGATAGCGTCCAGAACACTCAGCAGCTTCCTGCGCACTGAGGCACACAAGCCAGACGCGTTTAAGGAGAACAAATACAAGTCTGCTAACCAACCACCATCACAACTGATGAGTAAGGCAGGGCAAACCTTTGGAGGCGGAGTCAAAATGCAGAAAAGCGCTGACTGATCGGGTTTCTTCTTCCATGCCGGATTCCCCGTCAGCTAGAGAGAAGCAGATCTCTTTAGATGTGAACCGAGAATATTTTTAAATCTTTTTCATAAACATTCTGCCTAATTTAAGCTCATCTGAACAGGTGAACACCAGGAAAAGCACGCTTCCCACCTGTGTGCTGGGTGTGTGGCTGGTCATCCAGAAGAAGGCTGACAAGACGTTGTGTGTGTGAACGCTGGCGGTTCAGTGAGGTCACTCTCAGCTCGATGGCAGCCGTTTTCATGAGCCACGACATCTGGGAGAGGGCAGCGATCGGATTACCTGGAGGCCAAACAGAACAAACACACAGATTCACACTTTTCTGGGCCACGAGTCCGAGATCATTCAGCAGGGTTCACCTGACAGGATGAAGGGCAGGTGCTGCAAATGAGAGAACAGGAAGTCCTGACTGGTCCTCAGATAGCGCATGGTGGGTCCAGATGTGTCTGGACAGGCACACAGCTGGTAGATCACCTGAGATGAGTAAAAGGTGTCAGATAACCGAAAAGATCCAAGGCTACAGGCTCATGTTGTTGTTAATACCTGGTAGCAGAGCTCCGCCAGGTGAGGAGCTTCCTGTGTGAGGGTAGGCCCTGATCTCTTCTCAGTGCCTCTCTGCAGCAGACTCAGGATGGCGTGTAGGCAGCTGCGTGGACATCCCAACACGCCTGTTGAAGGCAGAAATCCAGATGTGACCCTTTAAAGCTCAAACCCAACGCCGATCAGTCGTGTGAAACCCGTACCAGGATCCTGGAGGTTTGTGGAACAAACGGGCTTCTTGACCTCATAACCCAGAAGGTAAAGAGCCAGATTAGGTGCCTTCAGCTCCAAGGAGGTGATGAGCAGATTCAGGATGTGGATCTGGGTTTCGTGCCGAATTCTTGCCATCTTCTTCTGTTGGTCCAAGTCTGATGGTTGAGAACCTTGGTTCATCAGTTTAAAGTTGTTAGTACTCCAGTGGTGTGCAAGTAACAGACCAGAAGTTACCATCTTCCTTTTCTGGTCCTTCTTCTGCCTCTTCATTATCCAGACACTCCACAAAGCCGGCCAAAAGCTTCTCGCTCACAGCCTGAAGCACAGACGCGTTTGCTTAAACACAATAAACACATCTGGACCCTGAAAGGAAACATCTGGTAGTAGATACCTGGTCGTGTGTGAAATCTCCCACCAGCCGTACGTGGATGTTGGGGTAGGTGGCGATGCGCCGCAGAATCTTAGCACTCTGGAAAGCTGCTTCTGGGTTGGAGCTGCTGTGGTACAGATACCTGCAGGAGGACATCAGAGCTGCGGGATGACAACTAACTCAATTATTATTACGCATGCACAAACCTGGCAATGTTGACAATGTGATCGGCTCGTCGGGTCTGAGGACTGACTCCCTGGAAGAGCTGCTCTAGCGGAGACACAAGCATGGAGGCCTGGCTCTCCCTGAGAAGATCCATGAACACCACTTCCTTCTGCAGAGTCAGGTCCAGAAGTCGGAGGCAGTGCAGCACAGCTGACTCCAGGTGCTTTTTACCTGTAATGGACGGGGGAGTTACGAGCCCTGTTGTCATAGCAACGTGCACATAAACGCCATTTGTATTCTCACCAGGGAAGGGTGCGTAGGTGTCCAGCTGGCGAGCCCCTTCCTCCAGCAGGCTGAGGCAGAGAGCCAGCATGGGCGAGTCGTTCAGCAGGTGGAACATGATGCTGTGGCCGGGGGGCTTGTCAGCGGGGACCTGCTCGCCCTGCAGCTCCACCGTCTCCTGGATGAAGTCTGATGGCTGCGGCTCATAGCTCCGCAGCAGCTTGTGGAACACCTCCAGGACAGAGTCGGCCACCTCCCACTGACGCGTGAGGAATAAACGAATAAACGCTTGTTTTAGTTATAAAACACACAACAGACAGCTCGCTAAAGGCTAGAGAGATAGCTACCTTCTCAGCGGGACGGCGGTACGCTCTTGTGGGAAAGGGAAGAAACACAGACTCACGCAGAAAGTTCAGATAGGGCTGGAAGCCGGGGACACGAAGGCCCACCCCCAGATTAAGAGGCACACTGCTCTCCACCAGCGTGCTGATCAGATGGCAGAAGGCTCGCGTCAGAGGGTACTCCTCACAGCTGGACTCGATCTCATTCAGCTCAACCTGAAACACACACTGCCGTCACCTGTCCCGTCTAGTTAAAAGGAAGATTTAGAACTAAATAATAATAAATGTTTATAATGAAGCTGTTAAAAATCTAACAAAACCCCAAAAACCTCCCTCAAGTAAAGCTGATTTTACATTTTTATCAAGTAATAATTATTCAAATAGTATTTCTTATTGAAAATCTGTCATCAACAATAAAAACACCCACCTCAATTCCTGCTGCCTGCCTCTGACCCGGCGCTCGAACTGTCTGAAGGATCTAGAGCAAAAAACAAATAAAAACTCTTACAGAAAAATACTTAAAGCAACCTAAAGCTTGGTTTCTCGTGTGTGTGTGTGTGTGTGTGTGTGTGTGTGTGTGTGTGTGTGTGTGTGTGTGTGTGTGTGTGTGTGTGTGTGTGTGTGTGTGTGTGTGTGTTTTTTTCTTCATCTCAGGGCTCCAGGAACCGTTTTCCATCCCTGTGGAAGACGGTTCGGTTCTACCTGGGTGTACTCCAGCGACTGCCACAGGGAAGCGGCGATCTCTGGTGACTTCCCGAAGGCTGCCAGGGACCGAAGGAGCTCAGCTTTTAAAACGGGTGGAATGCTGCACTGCAGCAGCCCCAACATCACCACCACCGGGGTCCACTGGGGATGTTCACACAAGGCCAGACGAGCATTCTCACTCTGAGAGAAAAACATAATAGAGTTTTTAAACTTTGCTTTTATGTTAGCTTTTAAAAATATGACCACATGTTGTACGGTACCCAGGAAATGATGGTGGTGAGTAACTGCAGAAAGGAAGTCAGCCCTTCAAGCTCTCTCTGTGTGATGCCCCTGAGAGGCGGGTGGCGGTAGTGGGAGGAGTCTGCATTAGGGAGATCCCGTCGCAGGTTTTCGTGGTAAAGCATGAGGGAGTGGAAAAAATGCTCCCAGGACACCGGGCTGCCCGACACTCCTTGGATGTTGTCGCCTACAGCAGAGTAGGGTTAGGGTTAGCAGACACTCACAAGGATTTTTAGCTTTAGCAACAGCAGCGCCCAGAGTCTGCTAACCTCAAACCCGTTTAGCCATTCTTCACGCGTTTAAGAGCAAGCGGTTTCAGGACGATTATCGGACTAAAGTCGCCTAAACTCATTTTAATAAATCATAAAAATGATTATTTTATTGTAAAAACGGACCTTTTGGATTTCTACTAAATAACTGTTCCTCTAAATACTGTGATGTGTTTACATGAAGAACAGTTCATTCTTACTGTGTGTAGCTCCATTTGTTTTAAGAAGACTGAAGCAGTAATGAGCGCACTGTGGACCATTAGCGAGGCCTTTCAGCATGCAGAGATAAGAAAGGTACAGGGTGGAGGGCAGGAGGTCTCCCATCTGACGCACAAACTTGGACAGAACCACCTGCATTTGAAAACAACAACACTTTACAAAGAAAGTCACACAAAAGTGCGTCATGGTGCAGCTGTCTCGAATTCTGTAGGTCAGGAAAGTTCAACCTGTTTATGAGGAGGCCGCTGCAGGGCCATTCCCAGGTAGGACCCCTGCAGCGAGGTGTGCTGGAGAGACTCTGTGGGACACCAGAACTCCAAACCCAGCTCCAAGCCAAACGGATCGTTACTGTAAAACTCCCCGATCTGAAACCACACACAGCAAACACAACAAGCTTAAACTCCAAACGCAAACAACAGAAAGGTTTCACTTCTTGCATCTTTGCTGCAGCTCCTTAAGTCTATCCTCAACACTTGCTAGATAAGACGACTGACCAGAACCATGAGATGATCTAAATCCTTCCGCAACGATGACGGGAGTTCACCGTCCATCTGTAGGGACATGTGCACCAGGCGGGCATCCTCATCGGCTCGATTACGAAGCTGCTTCACCTGCAGTTTAAAGCGATTGTTAAAGCACGATTCAAACCTCCGTGATGACAACAATCTATGATGTCACTGTTGAAACCTCTAACCTTCACTGGCATGAGGGCCAGGAAGTCTGTGATGAGTGAATGGAGGCGGCGGATATAAAACTCTTCCTGGACAAAACCCTCACATCCCAACATTCCTTCCTTCATAAAGAGGAAGACGTCTCCTAGCAGAGCCTGATCAGCCAGAGACTCGTCTGCTTCGGTGAACTCAACGAGGCCTGCAGACACACACATTCAAATTAAACCCAAAACAAGCTCTGGGTGCAGGTGGACTGTATTTGCATAGCGCCTTCTAGGGTTCTGCAACCCCCCAAGGTGCTTCACAACACAATCAGTCATTCACCCGTTCACACGCTGGCGGGGATGAGCTACGATGTAGCCACAGCTGCCCTGGGGCGCACTGACAGAGGCGCCACCGGTCCCTCCGACCACCACCAGCAGGCAACGTGGGTTAAGTGTCTTGCCCAAGGACTAGGGCTGGACGATGTGGCCTAAAGTCAGTATCAGGATTTCACCTCGATAACGATGAATGGACGATGACTACAGGTATGCGCAGAAACTAAAGTTGTCCACAAGGTGGGGCTCAAGGCAACACAGCTTCTTAAAGGGACACGAATGCTGCCAGTCAACACACATCTTTTCATTTTTTTATTATCACATTTATTGACGTGGGAAAAATGATCACGAGTCACAATCTTTGATAACGATAATTTTTGGATTTACAGCCCAGCCCTACCGAGGACAACAGCAGAATTCTCTGGTCAGAGCCGACTTCGAACCCGACTACTGGACAAGCCGCTCTACCTCCTGAGCTACTGCTGTAAGAAGTATAAAACTTACCTGAGCCTTGTGGCAGCTGTGAAAGGACTCTCAGAGACAGAGCCCAAGCCAGTCGACACACAGCCTGCAGCCCTGGAAGCTTCCATGGTTGTCCGTCCATTAGACGAGTGTGCACCGCAGACACATACTGCCTCTCTGTGAGCAACGGCAGTGCCTGGAGAAGATCTGGAAGGGAAAAGGTCAAATCTGTCAATTTCTGTCAAAATATCCTGGCAAAACATCAGCAGGCATCTTCATAAGAACTCTAACTAAAGGACTTCAAGTATCTTCAACAAAATGAAGCATTTGACATGAACTCACCTTCTCGATCTTCAGTTCCCTGCTCTATAAAGCTGACGTCCAAGCAGTACAGCAGCGCCATAACTAGAGCCAGGCTCACACTGTCCAATGAACCATCAGCTTGAGCTGTAACTGTCTCCAAATGACCAATAAGAGCCAAGGTGTCATCTTTAGTCAAGGGTGACTGACAAGTCCAACAAAACAAGCTGTCTGCTAGTGCCTGTCGACATTCTCTGATCAAGTCAGAGACCTGGTGACAAAAGTGGGAAGAAAATTGTGTTTGGCATTATTTCCTCAAATAAGCTTCGACTTAAGATAAAGTAAGATCAATTTAATACTTGCTCCTACCTCTTTCCTGTGCTTTTCATTGCCCAAACCACGCTCTTTCTGCAGACGTTCAAACTCCTGTGTCACATTTATTTCTGACACCAAGGCAAGGATGCGTTTTGTTAGTCCTCGACTCATCAACTCATCTGTAAAGCGTGTTGTCAAAGCCACCAGCTCTTCACTGAGCGAGGAGGCAAAAAACAGTACACAAGTTAAAGAAACATTTTTCCTTCTTGCTGACAAAACAATTCCATCAGATGGGCCTTTGAAAGAACCCATCACTTTGTAAAATTACCAATATTTAAAATTGTTACTTTAAATCCAGGGTGAAGGTCTTGCCATGCCGTGACTGAATGAGTGTGCGCAGAGAGTTGGCCACACAAAGCCTTCCATCCCAGTAGAGCAAGACAGCCACTAGGCCTCGTGTCAGGCCTGGAAAATGGGGCTGTTGTTGTTGACCTGGTGGAACAAAAAAGTACACTCTGTTAATTATTTCATGACTGCCTTCATCTTTCCTTCCAAATCACACACTTGATTAAAAAAATAATATTTAGTAACAGGTAATGTGACTGTTTCTGCATTTCTACCAAAATTATGCAGTCACAAATTTCCCTTCAAAAATGTAACTTATAAGCTGGTTTTTAAGAGATCACTCTACCTGCCAAGAGAAGCTCCAAAGCTGCTAACTCTCCAATGTCAAACAGATCACTGAGGATAAAGGCCTCCGTCAGGAGCGTCTCTGGAAGAAGACGTGAACCCTGATGTCCTTGAATGGCGATGCCTTCTGTGCTGGCCTTGCGTACTTTTTCCCTCTGCTCTGCACTCTTTGGCTAAAAATATTGGGAAAATCATGTGTTTGAAAAAGCTATGTCTCAATATAAATCTATACATTGGGTAACAACAACAAATGTAAAGGTTAAAAGAACATTTCTCAAACATTTAATTTGAATAATTTCAACAAGAGAGCTGTTATCTCACCACATTCTTAAAGAGTGACATAAAATGTGGTTTGTGTTTCTTCAGTTGCAGATCCAGAAGGTGGACAGTTTCTGGCTGTCTCTTCAGTATAGCTCCATCTACTGTCTCCCATAGCTCCTTCAGTGGCCCCCACAGACTGGCTCCTGAACGAATTAGTTTATAATATATGCAGGCAAAAAACATGGATTTCTGCGTGCAAGTTTCTTATAACCGTACTCGTTCGCAACATTAGACAGACAGACAGACAGATAGCCTAGCCTTGCAAAAGTGATGAAATTACTTTCACATAAAATGCGCAAAAAATCTACACGATGAGTTAACGCGCGCACTCACAATGGTAGCATATTAATGTGACCAACATCATTTATTTACTCCTCACTGACGAAAACAATCATCAACTTTTGTAGTTTCAGTTTTATTTCCAAGTAGTGGGCAAATACGTCAACTGAACCCGCTAACAATTGTAGGGACATATTTATATATGGTTGATATATATATATATAATTTCTAAATGTGCAATTCATATATTTTCGCGTATTTTGTTGTAGAAGTGAGGTCTGGTCAATGTGTCTACAACCAAAACAAGCTAATGCAACGTTTTTCAGCCATGAGTAAGGCTAGGCTAAAGTAGCCTAACAGCCCGTGTCATAACCTAAAAAGATCAACTGTGCAATTAAAACTACTAAATACCAATAAGCTACTCACAAGATTTAACACGTATGTCTTTATACGTGTGTTATGATTCAGGGTATATTGATAAAAAACGTCTCTCAGCATAAAAATGCTCAGAAATAAGAATTATTACCTGAATTTACCGCCATCGGCGCCGCCATGATCCACACAGACCGTTTTGGACAGCAGCTGTTAAGTTATTGCCGGTGTGAAATGCAAAAAATAATAAATACTTTATGAAAAGTTCCAAAATATATTTTCTCAGCTATTAAAAATAAACGTCAAATGTAAAATATAGTCACTTAATAAGTCATAGTAATTTCTTTAAAATGTGGTTTTAGTATAAAATTATCAGGCGAGGTCCTCGAAAGTTGAAGCTACCGGAAGTAAACTTTTCTTGCGTAGCCTGAAAAAATATTTGAGAAATAATTTAAATTTACTTAATGGTTGATTTTCTTTCTTCAAATAATATGATATGTTTATTTAGTTCAACACTAGATATTTGCTAAAACATATTACCCATTACATTCTCCGTCAGAAAGGTCAGAAATAGTTCCGCCTTGTTTTGCTCCGTACTCTTTAAACGTAACACCACTATTTCCATGCATCATGATTCTGTGACCGCTCTGGTAGAAATTTGTGATTTTCAGTTATTTGTTCCACTATAAATTCTGTACATTAATAAGACAGGGGTCTCTGAAGTGTTATGGCTCGGGTAGTAAAAGTGTTTCGGACTCTTCGAAATCACTGGAAAAAATCTACATTAGCTGTGTGCGTCCTTTCTTATGGTGGATATTGGCTGTATGGTAAACACTGGTGAGTTTATTAGATTTTTTTACTCGCATTAAGTTTGTTTGCCACTCAAAAATCTTGTACCTTGTATTTTAGTGAAAGCGTTGTGCGCAGAGAGGCTTGTCAAATTGCCAGGGTAAAGTATAACTTCATTTTTTATTGCCCTCAAAACAATTAGAATCAAAATAGCAGTTTACTTCATTTTAATTGTAATTCTAAGTATCATTACTTAGGAATTTGGACGTCAGCAAATAGCACCACACGAAGGTCTGAAAAAAGCAACAGTGATTTTGAATCCTGCAGCATCTAATGGGTAAAAACTTATAAAAGTCACATATCTGTATTATCAGCACAGTCTTTCCCAAAACAAACACTTTCCCTTTCCCCAAATGTTTTCAGGAAAGCCAACAGCTTGTTTGAAAAGAATGCTGCCCCCATTTTACACCTGGCTGGAGTGGAAATTACAGTAGTCAAGGTATAAATAAATGAACCATTGATCATAAGGATTGGCATAAACCGAGTGTTACACCAGTCTTTTTCCACAGACAGACTATGAAGGTCAAGCAAAGAAACTGTTGGAGCTCATGGAACTGACAGACATGTTGATCGTGGCTGGAGGAGATGGGACGTTACAGGAGGTCGTCACAGGTTTACTGCGAAGACCGGATCAAGCAAGTGTAGCATATTTCTGGTTATCTGTTATGTTGTGTTACACCTTTATTAAAAGCTATTATCAAGTAGAAAGTGCACAACAGGTTTATTTTTGACAACAGGAAACCTTCAGTAACACACCAATCGGATTCATTCCTCTGGGTTCTAATAATTCCTTAAGTCCAAGTCTTCATTTTCTCAGTGACGACAAAGTCAAGTAAGTAATACGAGTAAAAAAGCCTGAATAGCTGAGACAAGTATGTGATATCATGTATTTATGGCCTTTCGTTTGACAAATGGATTTCCTTGTGTGAGTTTTACATTGTGTTGAATATTCAGGAATATCACATCAGCCACACTGTCCATTCTGAAAGGAGAAACGGTTCCTCTGGATGTGCTACAAATCAAAGTAAGAGATGGTTTACACAGAATAGCATAACAATCATGTCTCCGATGCCGATTTCAGGGGTTCATTAACTATACAAGTGTACCGAAGTCATATGATGGATGTGTTGCATTTGTGTTTGTCTGCAGGGAGAGAAAGAGCAGCCCGTCTTTGCTCTGGTTGGATTGCGTTGGGGTGCTTTTAGAGATGTAGCTGCAAGAATTAGCAAGTAAATTCACCCAGATGGTGACAAAGATTGTGTATTTCATATTTGATGAGACCGTCTTACAGTTGTATTTGGCCCACACAGATATTGGTATCTTGGACCACTGAAGGCAAATGCAGCACACTGGCTTCACACTCTGAAGGTGAGAAAGATCCTGCAGGCTAATCTGCACAAAGGAATATAAACTTGATTTTGCAATGTCATCTCACTGGTGTAGCTTTTCTTTTAATGTACATGTGTAAAGTCAATGTTTTGGTTATTTTCTAAGGAAATATGTCAGTTTTTCAGTATTTTTCTGATCATCGGAGCACTGAATCACTATTTCACATATTGTAGATGAGCCTTAGATATTTTATGTTCCTGTAAATCATAAACTTGGGTAATTTTCATAAATATTGTCTAGGAGTGGCCTCTGGTCCGAGACGTGTCCATTTTCTATCTGGCTCCCACGCCGCGGCCCCCTGACCTGCCCTCTCAGAAGCCCGCCAGGCCGAACCTGCTTCGCCGCATCGTCTGCAGACTGAAGAACTACTGGAACCCGCCGGTTAAAGGTGAGTGTTTGTTACTGTTCTGAAAGTCCAGCACTAGAACACAACAATCTTATTTTAATCTTTGTTTTTGGTCTTTTCTTTGCTCAGAACCTCCTAAAGTGGAAGAGCCAGAGAAGTGGGAAGAGCAGCAGCTGTCTACATTGGAGCTTTATATTCAAACCCACAACAAAAACCCAGTGGAGCGGGTCAGTGATCTTCAAAAGCCTTGCTGCTACATACTCTGTTTACCATCAGATCTCATCTTTGTCCATGTGTTTGTTTGTATTTGTAGCGCATAAACGACTCTCTGTTGATCTGCGCGGAGCCCAACAACTTCACCGTTGGCGAGTTCATCGCTGCAGGGTCACTAGCTCCTCTTTGATTATTCTTTTATGCTTCAGAGGCCTTAAAATCAGTTAAATGTTTGCTTTTACTTGCATTAAAGTTAGTGCTGTCTTTCTCCTAGGAGTAAGAAGCAAAAAGACCCAACTGTATTCACAGAAAACCACATGGAGCTGGAAGCAAGTGCTTGCCGGATAAAGCTGCCAGAGGTGAGGAATCCTTGTTGTAGTTTCAAAGTCAGCATGTGAGTTTTAGTGTGAAGGTGGATTTCTGTGTGATGCCTCTGCAGGGAGCCTCTGGCTTCTACAGTATTGATAATGAGGAGTATGAGGCCATGCCTGTAGAGATCAGTCTGTTGCCAAGGAAACTACGCTTCTTCATCAGCACCGAGCGCAGAGAGCAGCTCCGCACACAGCCGCAGCGACGACAGAAACAACCAGAAGATTAAAACAGCAGGATGAAAGAAATCATAATAAACTATTTAAATTTAAACTTTTTCTCCCTTTACGACTTTAAAATTACAAATGAAGGTAATAAGAGGAGTTTTTTTTAACTAGTATAAACAGTCTATTATGTTTCCGGATGCTTTATGCTATCAGACGACATGTGTACTAGTTTTCTTGGTGGCATCGTTGCGTTCTGCACGGTCAAGAGCAAACATGCAAACTCCCTCATTTACTTTGGATAAACATTTAGAGTCTTTTCAGCCAGTATCCCTGGATGACTTAGTTAAGTTGGTGGACGTAATTAAACCGAGTGGATCTCCTGAAGACATCACACCACAACGGCTGTTTAAGGAAGTCTTTCATGGAATAGCACCATTAATATTGAAAGTTATTAATAGCAGTTTGGCCTCTGGCTATGTTCCAATTGATTTTAAAAAGATGGTTATTAACCCACTGTTAAAGAGATCGGAGTTAGATGGTATGCAGCCTTGCAATTACCGGCCGATTGCAAAGCTCCCTCTTCTGAGTGAAATTCTGGAAAAAAGTGTCTATACTCAGTTAATGGATTTCCTAGAAGAGTCTAACATTAAGGAAACTTTTCAGTCTGGCTTTAAAGCTTTTCATAGTATGGAAACGGCACTGATAAAGGTATTAAATGACATTATGTTGGAAACTGATAGGGGAAATCCTGTGCTACTTGTTTTGTTGGACCTTACAGCTGCGTTCGACACTGTGGACCACGAAGTGTTGCGCCATCGTTTGGAGTATAATGTCAGAATCTCTGGTCTGGCCTTAGACTGGTTCAGATCTTATTTGAAGGATAGGGCTGTAAGTGTAAGGATGGGTGGGTTTATTTCTGGATTCACACACATGCAGTGGGGGGGGGGTCCCACAGGGTTCAATATTAGGACCACTACTGTTTTTGATTTACATATTGCCACTGGGGGACATCATGAGGAAGTATGGAATTCGATTTCATATGTATGCTGACGATTGCCAACTTTACTTACCCTTGGATTATAGAAGCGACTGTGCCATTGTTACCTTAATGCACGGTCTAACTGAAGTAAAGTCATGGTTGACGGACAATTTTTATGTCTGAATGAAAGCAAAACTGAGGCGGTGCTGTTTGGGTTACATCGTGATTTAGAGCGATCAAAACTGGATTGTAGGGATATGAATGCCTACCTACGTTCTTCGGCAGTCAACTTAGGAGTGACATTAGATAACGCTTTCACCTTTGACGCACATGTGGGTGCGGTTGTATCGTCCTGTTTTTACCACTTGCGACGTCTGGCCAAAGTGAAGTCATTTTTAATTAGAAAGGACCTCGAAACTGTTGTGCATGCGTTTATCACCTCTTACTGTAACTCTGTCTTAATTGGGGTGAGACAGAGTACAGTAGCTCGTCTGCTGCTTGTGCAAAACGCCGCGGCAAGATTCCTAGAAGGGAAAAGGAAATATGATCATGGGACACCCATCCTGGTTACCGGTCGTTTTTAGAGTGCGTTTAAAAATTATTTTATTGGTTTTTAAGGCATTGAATGAGATGGCACCAGAATTTTTATGACTTGCTACAGCCATATATACCTAGTCGTTTGCTCCGCTCAGAGAGTCACCATATGCTTCTAGTCCCCGCAACTAGGCTCAAAACAATTCAAGTTTATTTATATAGCGCCAAATCACGACAAGTCGTCTCAAGGCACTTCACATAATAAATATTCCAATTCAGGTCAGTTCATTAAGCCAATCAGAAATAATGTTTCCTATATAAGGAACCCAGCAAATTGCATCAAGTCACTGACTAGTGTCAGTGACTCGATGCAATCCTCATACTAAGCATGCAAGCATAAAGCGACGGTGGAGAGGAAAACTCCCTTTTAACAGTATTACGTCCCAGCTCTCTAGGAGAGATGAGGAGGGGAGTAATAAAATTAGTGTGTGGGTAAATAAACAGTGCTGTGTCGCTTAAAAAGAACAAGAATTTTAATACAAAATGAAGGGAGTGTTTACAAAGAACCTAAAGAACAATATTAAATACAAAAACAAAAGGAGCAATATTTAAAAAGGACAAACGAAAAGCGCCCACCCAGAAGGGGATGGGGAGAAAACAACTGAGAATATCTGGGGAGATCCTAAATTCCGAGTCAAAAAGCCGTTCCGAAGTCTACAAGCCAAATTATCCAATACAATTTCCAATCCAATATCCAAAACCCTAACGAGAGTAACCAAAGACGAACGTGCGAACAAGTTTTACCAAATGAGCGAACCAAGAAGAAGAGAATAGTGCAAACTGTTTCCAGTCTACACTACCCTGGACCTTCTCAAAGAACTGATGGCTGACAGCTGCTTTTTAACAGCTGATAAGTGATCAGCCATGATCTGATCCAGCTGAGCACTAGGAGAAGGACGAGGCAGAAGGCACTGAGGCCATCTTGTGGCTGAAAAGGGGCACGGCACGTAACAACAGGAAGAAACCTCCAGAGAATCCTGGCTCAGTATAAGCATCCATCCTCCACGAGTCACTGGGATCGAGAAGACAGAGCAGACACACACACACACACACACGTAATCTGTCTATAGTTATATTGTGATGTCTTAGTAAATATTCTATGTGGTGAGAGATAAACTTTATTGCATTTATCCTAGTGAATCTATAATTAAACGGGTAAACTAGTAGTAGCACATCAAACGTCAAAGAGAGCAAAAAGTTATTATCAGGAGAGGGAGAATGTTTAAGTGGTTAGCAGCAGTGTGCTAGTCGATGGCCCCCTCCGAGAGGCCACCACAGCTCAGCAGAACATCGTTGTAGCTTCTTCTGGGGAGAAAAACACTTAGAGAGAAAATAAAGTTAACAGCTGAAATAGCAGGAACTAATACAGTTAAAGAGCAGATAGTAGAAAAAAGCAGTAGAGTGTGAAAAGTGGTCAGTGTGTCCTCCAGCAGTCTAAGCCTATAGCAGCATAACTACAGAGATAACTCTGGATCATCTATCCTATTTAGATGGAGGCATGTTGGAGGCAGGGCAAGGGAGAGCCGTCTTTACCGACTGTACACTCCACCTCCCTCTACTCCCCCACTTGTCCAGATCTAGGCTAACATCAGATTTTAACCTTAGACCCTATCAAATAAAAATGTTTTAAGCCTATTCTTAAAAGTAGACAAGGTGTCTGCCTCACGGACTAAAGCTGGGAGCTGGTTCCACAGGAGAGGAGCCTGATAACTAAAAGATCTGCCTCCCATCCTAATTTTAGATATTCTGGGAACCACCAGTAGACCTGCAGTCTGAGAGCGAAGTGCTCGGTTAGGAACATATGGAACAATCAGATCACTGATGTATGATGGAGCTTGATTATTAAGAGCTTTATATGTGAGAAGAAGGATCTTAAAATCTATTCTGAATTTAACAGGTAGCCAATGTAGGGAAGCTAAGACAGGAGAGATATGATCTCTCTTTTTAATTCTCATCAGAACTCTAGCTGCAGCATTTTGGACAAGCTGAAGACTTTTAACTACATTCTGTGGACTTCCTGAGAGTTATGAATTACAGTAATCCAGTCTTGATGTAATAAATGCATGAACTAGTTTTTCAGCATCACTCCTGGAAAGGATGCTTCTGATCTTAGCAATATTCCGAAGGTGGAAAAAGGAAATCCGACAAACTTGTGAAACCTGGGATTTGAATGACATGTCCTGGTCAAAGATAACACCAAGGTTCCTTGCTTTGTTCTCGGAGATCAATGCAATGCCATTAAGGTCAGGTGATTGGCTAAGCAATTTCCTTTTCCGGATTTCTGGTCCAAAGATGAGAACTCCTGTCTTGTCTTGATTTAAAAGCAAGAAGTTAAGAGTCATCCAATGTTTTATGTCCTCAAGACAAGCCTGTAATCTACCCAACCGATTAGGTTCATCAGGGTTAATGGATAAATATAACTGAGTATCGTCAGCATAACAGTGGAAGTTTATCCCATGCTGTCTAATGATTTTACCAATTGGGAGCATAAAGTAAAAATAATTGGTCCAAGCACTGAACCCTGTGGTACTCCACAAGTAACCCTGGAGTATGACGACGATTTGTCATGTACATTTACAAAATGAAATCTGTCAGACAGTTAGGATTTAAACCAGCCTAACGCTGTTCCTTTGATCCCTACCACATGTTCAAGTCTTTCTAAAAGAACATTGTATATGGCGTTAGACCCGTGCCACAACCCATGAACGCGGATTGGGTCCACATCGCGCGTGTGAACGGGACTCGCGAGTGAAAATATACATGGCGAGAGGTCATTTGTGCACTGAGAGGGAGCAAACTGTGTCTGTGAGCGCACAAGGATGTGCACAAGTGACAAACCTGCGTGCGCGCGTTGCCAACGAGCACACGGCAGAGGAAAACGTGCGCGGCGGACTCTCTGCGCGCGCAGCAGCCTCTCTGCACGCTCGGTTTCTGACTCCGCTCGCTCGGCTGTTAAGGGGTTTTGGCACTCTGGAGGCGTGGCCTGTGGCAGATCTTCTCTGTCCTCTGATTGGTTAGTTTTGCCCGCACTTTACCCTCTACCTCATTGGCCCATTGGCTTCCTGTCAGACCAAAATGATGGAAGCTATATCTATATAAAAACATCTGATATTCAGTAGTTGTTGTCATAGCTCAGCTGGGAGAGCGGGCGACTCTCCCCCTGGAGGATCCAGGTTCAAGTCCGGGCAAGGAAAATAGAGTAGATGTTGTGTTGTTTTTTCCTAATTCCTGTGATATTATTTTACAGTTGTGACCGTTCAACTGTCATTAAACGTCCGAATGTTTGCTAGGCAGTGTTTTAAAAAGTGCACATAAGCTAGATGGTTTTAACCATATAAAATTATATTTTTTGTGATACTGGAAAAATACATACTGAAATAAAACTACTGAATGAAAACTTTATGACTGTGGTTGTACAATATATGAGTCACTAATACACTGCAAAGGCCCTTAGAGTGGGGCTTCCAGAGAGAGAGAGAGAGAGAGAGAGAGAGAATTTGTATTCTGTCACAGTTGTAATATTACTTCAGCCACTCTTGAGAGGAGACTCCAGGTAAAAATAGACTTGTGGGTGTAGGTATGTTCAAGTTTAAAAAGTTCTTGCCTCATTAATGTATTGTTTATTTTTTCAGCATTTAATTGACAAATTATCCTTTCAAATAATTGATGAGTTACATAATTGTCCATTTAGAATTGTTGAATGGACTGAACCCTGATTTATGCTTCTCCGTCTGCGTCAGTGCGGAGACACGCAACACCATTATCCGTCCTCGCGTAGGGCTCTGGCAGGCACGCAAGTACGTACGGAGTCGAGCCCACTTTTTTAAACATCCGTCGAACGAAACGGATTACGCAAGCTTGTGATTGGTCAGGACGCCGCTGTTGTTTACAGCACCGCCATTGCAAAGAGAGCCGAGTTTAACTAGCGGCAGACACGGAGAAGCTTGAAGAATACCTCGTGAAAAAACTCTAAAAATATGAACGTTTCATCCTGCCGTGACTGGAGGAGTGAAAAGATGCGCAGCAAGCGTTTTATTTGTGGACGGAAATGACAGGAAACGTGGGTTTAGAGGTGGGGAGCGCATGAAGAAGTGGGAGAATGAGACAAATATGTCCGTGTTAAAAGTCTCTTACATACACAAAAAACATAATATAAACACACGA